ACACACACACACACACACACACACACACACACACACACACACACAAACACACACACCTGGTCCCTATACACACAAGAAGGCATGATATCCTTCGGAACTGAAGTGATGGGTAGCTGTGAGCCACCATGTAGGTGCTAAGAATCAAACCTAACTACTATAAGAATACCAGTGTTCTTAGATGCTAAGCCATCTCTCCAGACCACCTCATGTGTGGTTTTTTGTCTTTTAGGGGGAAGGGTGGTTTAGACAGGGTGTCCCAGGACCCTGACTCTGTAGACCAGGCGAATCTTGAAATCACAGAGCTAGGACAGTCTTTGCCTCCTGTGCTGTGTTAAGAGTGTGGGGCACCACTTCCAGCTTTCTTGTGTGTTTTAGAATTGATCCTAGCTGGGGGTGGAGTTGGCCTTTCATCCTAGCACTTGCCAGCTAAGGGCAGGAGGATCTCCGTGAGTTCAAGAGGCCGGCCTCTTGAACAGAGTGAGTCCAGGACAGCCAAGGCTACACAGAGAAACCCTCTAGAAAAGGGTTTCTCTAGAAAAGGGTCTCTAGAAAACCCAAAACCTGGAGAGGCCACCCCAGACTGTGATCTTGTTACCTAGGTACTTTCAGCATCACTATTACAACCCAAATGATATTCAGTAGCTTTGTAAGCCTCTCAACTTCCACCGTACAGAGCACATTAACTGCCCTACTGTACACCGTGTGAGTCAGACTTCCATCACTGCACTCAGTTCTTGGTGGTCACACTTCGGGTCTCTCGACACAGCCACTTGGCTGTGCTGTTGCTTAGGGCACTGATGAGGCGGTGAGGCAACCCGAGGGAATACGTGGTAGCCGGCAGCAGAAAGAGAGGCAGGACGTGGCCAGGGTCCCAGTATTCTCCCCTCAAGGGCTGACTGCCAATAACCTAATGTCCTTCCACTAGGCCCTATCTCCTAAGTGTTCTACCACCTAACAGAACCAAAGACTAAGGCCCAAGCCTTCAACACATTGGCCTTTGGAAGACATTCAAGATCTAAACATAGCAACAATTAACAACCTTATCATCTAAATTACTATGCGGAACTGTCTGGACAATTCTATTGTTCTAGATTAAAGTAGGAGGGACTGGATATGGCTCAGGGATTAAGAACACTTGTTCTTGCAGAGGACCTGGGTTCAACTCCCAGCACCCACAAGGTGGGTCACAACCATGTGTAACTCCAGTTCCAGGGGATCTGATGAGGACACCAGACATGTATGTGGCACACATACACACATAAAGGCAAAACACAGACGACATAAATGACTAACTTAAAAAAGCATTGGTTTCGATTCTCAGAACTCACATGGCAAACTCACAACCATGTGTAACTCCAGTCTTAGGGGATCCAAAGCCCCCTTCTGGCCTTTGCAGTCACCATAAACACATGGTACGGACATACATGCAGACAAAACATCTATGAGCATAAAGAAAAGATAATGTGCTGTAGGAATACTAATGACATTTCTCTCTGACCATATCGGGCAATCAGTAACACCATTTTCTCATGCTCTGGGGTGAAGGAGCATCAGCCGCTGTGGGCGTCCAAGGAAGTGACCCTTATTTTTGTTGTTGTTACACTTACATGTTCATTATAATGATGATCAGAAAGGATAAAAATGAACTGACACAAAAGGCTACTGAACAGGGGAAAAGCAGGGCTCGATGCTCCGCCCAGGAGCTCCTTCCCAGACTGCTCAATTACCAGGAAGACCCTCCCTGAGGTTTTTTTGTTTTGTTTTATTTTTTAGGAAAAAGTAGGTTGAATGACAGGATTGGTCGGTGCACACCTTTTATCTCAGTTCTCAGGAGGCAGAGGCAGGTGAATCTCTTGAGTTTGAGGCCAGCCTGGTCTGCATAGTGAGGTTCCAGGACAGCCAGGGCTATACAGTGGAACCATGTCTCAAACAAAACAAACCAAAAAAAAGGAGAACAGTTTTTTACTGGGTCTCGGCTATTACAATTCTTATTTTCCATCTTGAAAAAAAATGATAAATGTATAACTTGTTTACCTGAACCACACAAAATTATCTTTAATCCACAACTAAAACTAAGAATATTTTTAGTTGTGACATCTCACAAATGTCTGTAACTACAGTGTCTAAGAATCCCATGCCCTCTTCTAGCTTCTAAAGGTACCAAACATGCCTACACACAGGACACATATGCGTGTAAACAAAACACTCAATACATAAAAAGTCAGGAAGCACAGGCAGGTGGTCTCAAGGATTTTTTGTGGTTTTTTTTCTTTCTTTCTTTCCCTTTTTTTTTTTTTTTTTTTGAGACAGGGTCTCTCTACATAGTCTTGGCTATCCTAATACTCTAGGATTTTGAGGCCACCTTGGTCTACATCTTCAGTTCCAGTCAAGATTACAAAGTGAGATCATATCTCAAAACCAAAACCAAAAAAAACCAGAACAATATTTATATTGACCTCATAAAAAATACAAAGTTGTAATGTTTGTCCTCTCTAAAACCCATGTAGAAATTTATTGTCATTGGAGCAATCATCAGAGTTTAGGCATGGGCTGGAGAGATGGTTCAGGGTTAAGAACACAGGTTGCTCTTCCAAAGGTCCTGAGTTCACTTCCAGCAACCACATGGTGGCTCACAACCATTTGTAATGAGATCTGGTGCCCTCTTATGGCGTGCAGGCATACATAAAAAGCAGAACACTGTATACATAACAAATAAATAAATAAATAAATAAATAAATAAATAAATAAATAAGTAAGTAAGTAAGTAAGTAAATCTTAAAAACAAAACAACACTTTAGGCCTTAAGCCTGGTATGGGGGTTCACCTT